GTGTGTGTGAGAGAGAGAGAGAGAGAGAGAGAGAGTGAGGGGGGGGGGGGGGGGGTTACGAATGGTATGATCCCAGTGGATTGTCATTGATATATAAACGAATGATACTGCATGAAGTAGATATTAGATAGGAAAAGTATGGTTGGGATGAGGGGACATTGCAGGCCTCGTAAACTCCAAGCAGAGGCAAGGAGCTACTGATGAGGGGATGCACGTACGGCCCCTGTCCCCCCCCCCCCCCCCTCCCCCTCCCCCTCCCCCTCCCCCTCCCAGCCCGGGCACACCCTTATTAGGCCTATATTACGGGGTGCACATACTCTTTCACAAATTATTTATAACAATCTAGGCTCTCGATCAATATTTCACCTCCACACCTGCCAACCCACTTCTTGTTCCTGATTGGCTGAAATGCTGTTTTTCGCGCGAATGTGCTACATACACATCATAACATTTATAGCCGTGTACTATAGCTACTGCACTGTGAATGAATGGTGCGGGGCCGATCCGAGTAGTCTATGTACTACCTACACAACACGTGCAATAGCACAACCGCACAACAACGCAAGTGCCGTGGTATTGTTTTTCATTGATTCTGTAATCTATAAAATGTCAGATGTGTGTTTAATTTGCCTGCATGTCTAGTAACAGTTACATATACAGCGAAGTAAAGGATAGCTGAAACTAGGATAGCACATCCATGAGCAGGTGAGGCAGCTAAATAATTTCTAACTAAGATATTGACGATTTTTATTATGCTTCTCTTTGACAGAAAAATCCGTCTGGTTGAACTGTTGAATGTGCATGTGAATTCATATTATAAGACAGGCACGAGTAGTTTGATAATGTTGTGACTTAATTGTGTTTATGCAATATGGGCGTTCATTGTCTCTGACGTATTATGGGAGTAGTCTAGTTATATAATTTGAACGGAGTCAGGCTAACTCTGACCAGGGGACAACTCGGACCAGGGGACAACTCGGCCCAGGTACACTACCAAACCGGTCATTTTTTGTTGTTGTCATTTTAGGTTTCTAGGGTTAGGTTTAGGGTTAGGGTTAGGGGTCAAAGTTTGGAAAACCTTTCTAAACAAGCCCCGGAAAGTGGAGCCTGGCCTTGGTCCATAGAACTTTTCACATTGAGCGCTGTACCTTGGGTTTACGGGCTTCCATTGGCCGATCCGCTCGAGTGGCTTCAAATTTAAGTTAGAGAGGGCTAGACCGAAAACTTCAGTCTCTCTAATCGTCGGTTGTTCCACTGAGACTACGTCTGGCTCCACTAGACCTCCGATTATAGAGACTGAAGGATGGGGACCTCGTACTGTGAGGGACTGTACAGAACAAATGGTTCGGTTCGACCGGACCGCGATGAATGAGATATGCAACAAAATTTTCACTTTTTACATCCTCATAACTGCTGCAATTATAATAAAAATGAAAAATAACATAGACCCTATATATAGCTTATTTGACTTACGATAGCTTGCTCATTTAGATCCTAAATTAATGATTAATCCGAGAAAGTCTCGTCGACAACATTATCTGTCTTGGTTTTAGTTGATGAATATTCATTTTTTTTTTCTCGAACGTCCAATAGCTACCGTAGCTACGTACGAGTCGGCCCGGCTTGACCAACGAACTCCCACGAAACGAGTGCTCTGATTGGCCATTGGCGTAGGTTGACCCGGAAATATACCGGCCGCCGGGTCATATAGCTCTATTTTCGAGTGCATGAACGTAGTTTCACAGTTTCTAAGATACAAATTGGATAATTCATATAAGTAAGTCCGAAAAATTCACATTCTATAATAGGTTAGCAAATTTTGAAAACTGTAATTAGGAGATATATAGACCGACCTAATTTACATCTGATTTAGAAATCAGAAAATTAGATCTAAATAAAGAAAATCGGGGAGAAAATGTCGGTAACGAAAAGCTGTTCCGCTGTGGCTCTAATTTACCCACACGGTACGAGATCTCTGGGTTGCCATCTGTATTGGGGAATGACAACAAATGTCAGTTTTATTAAAGAAATGACCCAAATCAGATGGTTATTGCTGTCTAAGAGAGGGCCTACTTAGATCTAGACCTCTACTTAAGCGCAACTTAAGTTCAATGGCAATTAATGTCAATACGTAATGATTACGTTACACCAAGGAGATTTTTGACATGTCATATGCTTTAAACAGGTGACGCACTTCACTCATAATTGACGCACACATGGGATTGCACACACATAAAATAGAAAAATCAACAAACATGCATTATAAATTTCTAGTTTGTACCTTAAATATGACGTTAATGAGAATTTTTCAAACTAAAAAAAAGTTACATTAGACTTAAACTGAAGTGAAATACTTGACCTTTTATGGATGCTGACAAAAATCGTAACAAAATAGGGTTTGACGTATTGGATCAAACAGAAATCGCAAGCTTTCTCCTCGCACCAATATCTTGTAACATTGGGTGAATGGCAGCCAGTGATAGCCATTGTCATTGTCGGCGCCAATTTAGAAAAATGAGGCTGCAATTCGCCGAGATCGGATGAACCTTATGCGCATGCTAAAGTTCTACATGTTGGGCCTTAAGTTTGGGCTTAGTTGCCTTTAGCTTCAAATCATAACCGCCCTTGGGCCATTATCTAGAAAACGCTCTCAAGTCCTAAGTTCACGGACATCCCATAGGCATAGACCTACCAAACGTGTGTGTTAATGTAATTCTTTAACACTGACAAATGACATACCCAAATTATATTTGTTATGTACAGACATATGTACATGCATGGTGTCTGCACATACTAAGAGTCTGTAAAAAGGGCTGTCACACATCAAGAGTGAAACAAATTTCCTGTCCTTTATCTATCGGCTTCCTTTTCTCCTGGTCATGGCAAGATTTTAGCACACAAATACAGGTATGTGCCTTTTATGCTGATTTATTCTTGTTGTGGAAGTTTTCTTTAGATAATGTCACACTGAGACAAAATGTTTCGGGGCAATCCTTAAAAATCCTATGTACATGTACATGTGAGTTAAAAGTTATACTAGTACACTTGCACATCCGTTTTTTGTCATAATAATACTAATAAATTATATTTCTATAGCACATTATACAAGGTATGTCTCTATGCGCTTTACATTGTATTATGTAAAAGCTTAATAAATTATCCACTATTGAACTATCCTCATAGACAAATAACGACTAAAATGTATCTGTAAAACCTTTTCTGACGGACTCTTTGATTTACTACTAGACCAAGGCAATGCTTTGAATGTACATTTACATGGAACAAGGTATAGATGCAAGTTCATAAGTTCCATTTTATTTTTCTGCAACATTAAAAGTAAACAAATTTACAAATGGATAAAAAGCCTATAAGGCGAACAACTGTGACAAATCAAAATACAATCAATCAATCAATCAAAATAGTTGAATAGTCTTAAAGGTGTTGGCACCCAACACATGATTTTAAAAAAAATGTTATGTTCAATTTTGTAAAATAATACTAAATGATACTAAATGATACATTAAAAAAAGTATTTGTTTAATTAGTATCCAAGTACCATCACCTTTTTATTGATCTATAAAAGTGTAAATCTTACTAATAAAAATTATATGCTTCAGGTCAGTGCTATTCTCTATCACCTGGTTTTGCCGGTGTTTGTTCATGTATAAATCTTTCCGCTAATAAACAAGATATGCGACAATTTTTTACCAGGTCAGCTCTAAGCTAGCTGTATCACCTGGTTGTGCAGTACGTCACGTGCTAAAGTTTATCCATTTTGCTTTAATAATAATAATTATCCTTGCTTATACAGCGCCTAACACTTACTTTATCAGAAGTCTCTAACCGCTCTACAAAAGATGATCTTTCTGGAATTGTAATGAGGATTAGGGAATAACGCTTCACCAATTTTTCTCATATACATGTAGATTAGTATTGATAGCAATGCTACATTGTGTAGTACATGTAGATGTACCAGTTTTATTCCTTCTGTCAATTCTGCAGTCTCATTTTCTACAATACTAGGCTAAGGCAATGACTGTTTTTTTATTTTTTATTTTTATTTTTATTTTTGTTAAATAATTTTTTTCTTCCATGCAAAGTAATAATAGAGCAGAATGCAAGGTGTCCTGGTTTCATGTCATTTTTATGGAATTATAAAGATATTACAAATCAGAAACGGTAGTTCAATGTCTCAAGGAAACAAGTTTCCCAACAGGGAGATTTTTTTTTAATTGTATATATAACTATAATTCAAGTTGTTTGCACTTTCATTGTATTTGCTCCAAAGATTTCAAAGATCCTGTGCAATAGAACTCTTGACATTATGTATTGTAATTGTATGCTTGCCTCAACCCAACAATTAATGTGCGATCTGCATACTGCCTGCATGTTCTAAAAAACCTTGTAATGTGATCCTATGTGAACATATCAGGTGGGGTACATGCAGTCATGCCGGCTGTATTTAGAGAAGAATTGTCTGTAAATTTAAAGGGCTTTAGACCAGCTCACGTTGGCACATGTCCCAAATGACCCCGAATATCCACAGCTCTTCAAAACATGTAGAGGTTCTACTTTGTACATTCTGAAATAATCACTCCTAAAGTGATGGAGGTGCTACATAAAGATAGCCTTTGGCTTTGTTTCCCCTTTTTGAAGAATACTTCCACCTGTGTATCATGGAGTACACAGCTTGTGCACACATGAATACTAATGATTACATAACTTTCATGAGCACGTATCCAGTATTTTGTCTCCATGCATTTCACAATTAGGTCTGCAATGACCTGTATCTGCCCATGCTCAGACTGCAACTGTGAACTGGCTTGTTGCTCTATCCCTGTGGATTCAGGGGCAAATTTGCACAGTGAAGGCTGCCAACATGTTGACTGTATCTTGTGATAACACGTAGATTGGGTTGAGGTCAATCTTCATTTGCCCTGAAGAGGTCAAACCAATCAATATCTGACACACATTGTACTATGGTTTCTTTGTTTTTTTCTTCTCATTTACAGGTGCAAGTCAATTGCTAAAGATGAGCATTTTTTTCTTCTAATGCAGCTACACAGACATTGTTAACCTGTTAACATTTATGACTATACCCTTGATGGGAATTAAAGAACTGACAACAAGACGGGGTAATCCAACAACAGAGGGCGCTTTGGCCCCGCCATGCTACGTCTGGGCTCCTGCTTTCGACAATTTCATTCCCTTCATCCATCAATAGCGCCACCTGGCTGCAGACGTCAGCCAGTTGCATGGACGATAGCAAGCATACAGCAAAGCCAGCCTCTGATCATTTGCAAGTCGAGTTACAAAGTACAAATACATAATCGTCTGCTCAAACAAAGATCGGTCTCACCGCTCGCTCATACATCACCAAGCAAGTACTCTAGGCTAGACAACAAAATGAGGGATCTTGTGAATATCGCTTCCATGGGGAGCAGCTCGACCCTGGCAGCCAACGCTTCGCCGAAGAAACCGGAGAAAGCTGCGAATCGTGCAAGTTCGACTGGACAATCTGTTGTAGGTTCTACAGATGAAGTGTACCAGGTATGGTGATGTGGGCTATTCTTAACCTCTTCTGCACCACAATTTGTTTTAGTTGTCATACTTTAACAAGTAAAATTTTCACTGTTCCATTGGTAAAAAAAAAAAAAAAATTCTCCTAAAATTTGCCCACTTTTTTATGGTTTGCTTTTTATCATTTCAATAGAGCATCAAAGATCTAGATATGAATAAAACGACACTTTTCTCTTATTGTATACATGTACAATTTTTGCTTGAGAGTCATCTGATACATTTATCAATCACAGTATGCTCAAGCTACGTAAATAAAACAAAACATATATTTAATGATTAGTTTGTTTGTTCAGCAAATAGTGATTTGCAGAAATTTTTAAAGGGAACATATCACCTATAAAACAATGTGTACAGTGTATATCATTAAAAAGCATGAAATAACCCCCAACTGGCCAAAATCTAATGACATAATTAAAAGTGTTTAGGAGTAAAGAGCAGCGGGGGGGGGGGGGGGGGGGGGGGGGGGGGGGGGGGGTGGTGTTATTTCATGACTCTTTTAGAAGTAACCTTGGGGTTAATACTCTTGTGTATGGCTTTTATTAAAAGTTTGTTGACTAGCCTAGTCTGCCATTTTTTAAAACAATTATTTCAAGTATAATGTCTGTATTAAATTTGGTTTAACAGAAGTCTTATTAAAAACCACTATTTTGAACATATATTACCTGTATAATTAGACCCCACCCCCACCCACACACTGCAAATAAACCTTGTGATTGACCCCCTGCCCCCTTCTTAGAAATGAATTCAGCCTTTTCCTTGAAATGAAAAATGGAAACATTCAATATCATTCACTAATTTGTCCTAGATCTTTGATGGCCTCGACCAGGTTAATGACTTTCAACAGGAACTCAAGATTTCCTGACTTTGACAATTTATGATATACACAAACAAACCCCAAGGTGCGTACATGTATGTATGCTCAGTGTAAATCTAGAATTTGAACCTTACTGTTTTGCATACACAAGGTGTACTTCTCCTTCAGTATCATATTTCTTTGGATAGTAATAACACACTCTAAAATGTGCCCTCTATTTCAGGAGGCCATTCGGAAACTGAACACGTTGCAATCCAATGCCAAGACGCTTGACGAGATTCGTAAGAATCGTGACATGGGCGCGTACAAGAACATCCCGGACGTCATCGACGGCGCGACCAGGGTTGGAATATCGGTGAGCTCAAACATTGTATGTGTTGTATTCTACGAGAGGATTTTTATTAAAGCCCCACTGCACTACGTTCAGCTACTTGCGCCCTCTACATGTATATAGCAAACAATGCCTAATCGGTGACCATTGGTCCCTCACGATCCTCCTTCTTTTATGTTAATTGAGAGCTGATTTGGTGAGATAACCCCCTGTCAGTGACCTTGCAGAGTGGTCTAATCCCTCTTGTAAACTAGTACAGATGGGCTTTAATACACATATTACCCAGGCTCGACACTAACAAACAATCAGGGCCCCATTTCACAGAACTTGTCATCACTCATCAGTGACAAATGACAGTATTTGTTATAAGCTAGTAAAATCCATTGCTTCTGATTGGTTATCTGCAAATTTGTCACTGATTTTTGCATTCGTCAATGAAAAAGGCTTTGTGAAACGGGTCCCTGGACATATTGAAACCCAAAATGTGAAATCTAAAAAGTCTGGACATACTGTATATGCATACAGACATGCATTAATCCGGACCCTCTAAAGAAAAAGTTGGTAAGGAGCCCTGCATTACTTTCGTTCTAACAGCCTCTATAGCCTTCACCTTGTCTTCCATATTAACTGCACATTGATCACAAACATACAAAAATTAAGCCTAACAAAAGAAAATGAGTTATTCATAAGCTTTGATTTAGAAGGAAAACAATAGATGTCTTATAGCCCGTTTGTATCCCCCATCCCCCCTATTCGTGCCTGTCATATTCAAAGTCCATTGGAGAATGCTAGATGTATTATTATTTTTATTTTTTTTAACGTAATACTCTCAGACCATTTTGTGGTCTCACCATTCTTACTGCCTATTACTCTGATGAGGTGATCATGTTGTAAGTGAGTGATAATGTTAGGCGTACAATATAAATGATACCGGTAGGTCATTTGATGTCAAGCACACGTAAAGAGTTTACAATCAATGAATTTTATCTTCTGTTGACATAATAATGAATTATCAATTCATACTTGTAAGCCTCCTTGAATGCACATACATGTACTTTATAAGTGTGTATAGTCTGATTTGAAGTACATGTAGATGCATGTATGGGGTCAATTACGCTGAAGGTCATGTACAAGGTCATTGTCGTGGCCTGAGAGTGCTAATGTAATAGCATAAGACCAACTTTAATGGTAGAAATCTAATTTGTTTGATACATCTGTTCATATGGACATATGGACTGCCAGCAACAACAAAAAATAATAAGGGAGATTTTATTGATATACCTTTTATATAGTGTACATGTAATTGTATACATAAAGGCTTAATTTGAATAATGAATGTCAACATTAAATGTATACTGCATTTATTTGTTGCAACACAGGTATTAAAGAAATATGAAGTATTAATCCCTTTTGGGTTTTCAATATTTAGAATTACGCTTGGCTAGCTAGTCAAGAAAACATGACTACACAGAAAACAAGAGCAGGTCTAAGAAATTTTTCTCATTCGGATTTTGGTGTCCTGTACATTGCCAAGTATTATAGTATAAATTTCAAACATAAATTGATATTGAAACTAGTAAAAAGCATCGTTTTGCTTGATATTAGGTGCTCTTAAATTTATGATGTGATTGGTAAAATATTACTTGTTCACATTAGTTGCCCACATTAGTTATTATAATAATAATAATATCTAGGATTACACTTAATTACACTTAAGAATTAAATGCTGAAGGCTCACTAGTTCAAAACATGAATATAAATATACATACTTGTACAAAAATACAATATAACACAAAAAGATGAAAAAACCTATCAACTAAAGGCAAACTGAAAAAGATAAGTTCTAAGGTTGCTTTTGAAATATTCTACTGACCCCTCGAGGTAAACAACTCCAGAGTGATGGCCCGGCATGATCGAAGACTCTCTCCCCCCACTTTGTATTAAGTTTTGGAAGAACAAGCAATCCAGAGTTTTGAGAACATAAACATCTTTTGACATTTAGCACTTAGAGACTTCGGTGGTAAGCGCTTTATAAGTAACGTTTTTATTATTATTTTTATTATTATTATTATTTAATTTCTTCCACTTTACTAGCCTGTGTGTTAGTATGTTTGTTACACGGTTAATGAAATCAAACATCGACTATAACATATGTTTGTATCTTTGTTCATAGCTCGAGAGGCTTGATGAGCTTTCGTGTATACATGTAGCCGGGACTAAGGGAAAAGGCTCAGTCTGTGCCTTCACTGAAAGTATACTTCGAGCAAGCGGCTTCAAGACTGGATTTTATAGGTAAGGTACTTTATGGTACATGTAAAATCAAACCTGTCTTTACTTTTACTTGCAATCGCTCTGCAAAGGCCAACTGTCTACAGTAGCCACTACATGTATTGCCATTGTTGGAACAAACAATTTTCGAACAAAATAAATTTACACTTTGATTACAATTTTAGTTTTTATGTGATTTTTTTGAGGGAAGAAGACGAAGTTTGTAGCTCACACTTTCTGTTCATGATTTTCTGTTTGCTCATTTGTCAATGTCACATTGTGATGGTAAACATCAGGTTCATAGGTATGGCACGGCTCCAATCTGTTTACTGTCTGTCTGTTGAACTTCACACTAGATGAATAGAATACAGGTACGTGCAAAAAGGCCTACATTCAAAGTACATGTAGGTCAAGCCGAACAAGGTCATGTTTATCTATTCTCTCCATTCAGTGTATGTATGCATCCCCAGGCAAGACATGTAGGTACTGCAAACTGTTGATCACCTTTGTTTACTTCATGTCTGAGGGTTTTCTTTTTTCTCTCCCTTATTCTTCACAATTATTAAACAGTGAAACATGCCTTGTCCACCATCTGTACATAGAAAGACCACCTGTCTATAAAAACCTTTTTTTTTTTCCTTCTGGATTTCTCGTTAAGACTGTGTTGAAGGACCATGTACGCAAGGATAAGCTGCCTATATAGAAAACCTTTCATACTCCATTAAACGGTCTTTGTGTACCATTTAACGGGAGGAATGGGAAAAGTAGGGGTGAATATTACTTGCACTATTGCTGAAAATATTTTGACCAACCGGTACTTATTCATCTCCAGGATCAACTTTTTTACTCATCTTGCTTTTCTTCAGTTTTGAGACAAAAGAATGATATCAAAAAACTTTTCAAATATTCGAAAATTTAGTTCCTATTCATGCTTTTGAATTGTAGAGGATTCACTGTATGGCGTTATGCTATATAACACAAAACCTTTCATACAAGTCATTTACACACAGCTGTTGTTTGTGATATATTTATATAGTAGTGGTGAGTACCAAAAATGGGTGTTTTTGTTTAATCATCAAACAGCTCTCCACATCTGGTTGAAGTTCGAGAGCGAATCCGGATAAATGGGCAGCCCCTCCCCAAAGAAGACTTTGCTAAGAATTTCTTCACAGTTTACAATCGGCTGGAGGCTACCAAGGAAGATTACGATGGGAAAATGCCTGCTTATTTCAGGTTCCTGACACTGCTGGCATTCCATACTTTTCTAGAGGAGAAGGTATTTATAGAATATAATATTTTTTTGCCTCATAATTTAATGTAGCATTATAGTAGCATATAGAAGCTTGGATACTGTGAAATCAGAAATATTTGGCTGCAAGAAACTTTTGCGAAATTTTGAGTGGTCAAACTTCATGCAACAAAGTAAGTGAATTGCAGCACTAAGTCTTTGCAATTTCTTGAGAGTCTGGTTTTGTGATATAGGAGGGATGGTTTTGATACTATGAAATACATGATAAAGTGTAATAAGGCTCTCTGAGATAATGTAATTACTATTACTACCAAGGATATTTAAAAACTAGAAGTTCTTTTATTTTCAGGTTGATGTTGCTATAATGGAAGTAGGCATTGGAGGAGAGTATGACTGCACAAACATCATCAGGTAATATACATGTAGCAGTTTTGTGTGAGGAACAGTAGTTGATTCATACTATTTGTATTGTTTTGTTATTTGTTATTTGTTTTTTGTTTTTATTATTAATATTTTTTTTATTTGTTGTTTTTTCATTCCCTTTCAGTTTCATACAGGTATTCAAAAACTTTCTTGAATTTTATATCATCACATGTAGTAGAGGGATTGTTAAAACAATCCAAATGTAAACAAACTTACATTGCTAAAGATTGCATATTCTTGAAAAGTGCTTACACTAGTGTGCACATATGGGACTACATTTATTATTTTCTAATTTCTTTATCTGTCTTTGCTGGCTAATCATCCATTTCTCATTTTTGTTATGAAATTGGGTGAACAGGTCTTTATTTGTTATTTATAGTAAAACATTCATGTTGATTTTGAGTGACTTTAATCATTACCCGAACTTGAGCTTTTGTTCTAGCCATAAATTTAACACTCTAAGGAACATTTGTAATTAAGATGTTTTTTTCCTTTCTCTTTTCAGGAAACCAGTCGTAGTTGGGATCACATCACTGGGTATCGATCACATTGGTGTACTAGGCAACACCATTGATAAGATAGCATGGCACAAAGCTGGCATCATAAAGGTAAGATCTAAAAGAAACATAACAAGCTGAACTCGTCTAAAAAATACACATTAACACCGCAATTGCAGATAAAAATGTTTATTTCAGGAACGAAAACAATGGTGGTTTCATATCTGACTCCGGTCCAAAATCTCAGTGTGTTGTGCTTTACAGTGTGCATGGATACAGTGTGCTAATAGAAGTTAACACATAAGTTAGAACAGTACATGTAAGTTGCAACTTACAAGAAAACATCTTGAAAGTTCATCATTTGGAGCCAATGAAGGTTATTAATGATCATGTTCTGCTCGTTGTGATGGGATATTTATTGTTTTGAAAAATATAATGTTCATAAAATTGAACTTAAAAGCTTTTCCTAGTGCAGGTTTCTCCCATCTGGAGTAGTCCCTATGTGTATGGCAATTGTTAGATAAATACTATTGCTTTTATGAAATTGAAATATGAGACTAAAAATGATTTTTGTTTCTTCCCCGATTTTTACCCCTTTTTTCCTGATTTTCCCTTTTTACCCCCTATTTTTTCCCAATTTTCTTACTCAAAAGTTAGATGCCATTTTTATTTGTTAGTAGTCACTATCTCCCCTGTTTATTTGAACTTGTCAGTACCATATGGCATATTGTAAACACGTCTGTAGATCCATTGATTTTGTTATATTTGCTTATAAAATATTGATGACTGTCATTGATTTAGAGTGATATCATAGCAGAACCGAGAATTGAGGAGCGTGATGATTTAATCTCTAAGATTCTATTTAAATTCTTGTTTACCTGTCTTCACAGTCTGGTCGACCAGCATTCACTGTTCCCCAGCCTGAGAACTCTATCCAAGTCATCAAGGAAAGGGCCAGAGAAAAAGAGGTAAAAAAAGAGAATCATCTTCCATTCTGTCTTAGCTCAGCTTCCAAAGGGATTGAGCCAACCCCCCCCCTGTTTTTGTTTCAGAATTACTTTTATTTATATAGAATAAAGAGCTTGAAGTTTGAGGCCTCACAAGTCAGTGGGCCGAGTTAAACCAGGGACCTGTTTCACAAAGCCTTTTTTCAATGACAACGGCTAAATTTCTATGACAATGTGCTTTCAGCCAATCAGATGCCATGATTTCAGTAGCTTATAACAGTAGCCTGTAACTTGTTATTGATATCAAGATTTATGAAACAGGGTCCAGGTTTTCACCTTTGTGAATGCGAGCTCTTTTACCCGAGTCAAGAAAGGAAAAGTAGCCTGGGGTAAATATTAGCTGCAATAATCCTTATATTCTTTCAACATACTCCCCTTGGGTTTAGTTATTAAGAATCTTTTTTCCTTTTTTGTTGTTGTGAGCTATGAGAAAAATAAATATATGTCAGAGCATTATAAACACATGTTGACATTTCAGTCTGTTTACAGTCAGCAAGATCTACTTAAGCTTAAACTTAATCTTGATATTCAGATACTGGTAGCATACTTTCATTGTTATGTTTGCGCCTTGTCAACATATTGGATCCTTGGTTTTTGGTATTTAATTACTTATCAACTGTTCTTTCCTTATTGAGAATATTAAATTGAACTCTGTGTCTATGCATTTGAACCATGCAGGCTTCTCTTCAAGTGGTCCCAAGCCTAATGTCATATGGTTTCCATGGTGATGATGTTAGTCTAGGACTCGCTGGAATGCATCAGTACATGAACGCAACACTGGCCCTGCAGCTGGCCAAGACTTGGGTGACAGAGGAACGTCCAGGGAAAATTGATTTTGATGGTGAGGGTCAATATAGTAATTTCGGTGTAGATTTCGACATGATGACGAAAAGTTGAACCTTTTTTACTTTGGATTTGTTTTTGTAAGATTACATGTTTTTACCAAGGAAGACATTCTTTTAAGATGTGTTAAAATTCATGTGGCCATTATTGTTGTGGTTGTTGACGCTGATGGTGGAGATGTCGGGTTGTTGTTCTTTATGTATGTTGTGATAATAATGACAAGGATATTTACATTCTGTCTCTATGCGCATCCATAGGACTGGATATTATTACACTGGTTTCAGCTACAGCAATTCTAGCACTCTGTAGATTTAAGGAATAGTTCTACCAAGTACCCCCTTCTAGATCTAGGTTGAGTGGCACAAATGTAGATTAATGTCTTACCAAAGGAAGTTAGTGCCGGGCTGGGATTTGAAACCCGTATCTTTAATCTACAGTTCGGTGACTTATCCACTAGACCACAACACCTCTCTAATTCTAGTTGTAATTGTTAATAGAATAATCTTACTCTGTCTCTGTCTCTCTTTCTCCATCTTATTTCAGATGATGATGATGAGCCATCTTCTAAGCACCCTAGGATTGCCGACACGTTGCCTGTCACAGATGAAGTGTTGAATACAGGAGATGTAACCGAGGCTCAGCCATTCACTGTACCCAAGCAGTTTATAAAAGGTAGAAACTATGCCTATCCTAACCCTATCATAAAGATCATATGCCATAGGCAGCGCTACCCTGTATGACGTAGTGGCGATCTTTGTGTAATTCTTTAATAAATCTTGGCTTTGAGACCATAACTTAAAGTTGTTCACACTTTTATTTGTATTCCAAAAATAAAACTGAACATTTCATATCAATATCCTGATTCTTTGTAAGATACACAAAGCTGTGCAGAAATTGTAATCAGAAATTATATAACGGCTACTAGAGAAAAGTGTTGTCAGAAATGACACATAGAATTCCAGTATTATTAATGCCTATCCCTTCTATTCTTTAAGAACGTAAGCCCATGACTTCAATTATCAGGAATTAAGCAGTTACTTGTTTAATCCTAATGGCATTTGTGCATACATAGATGCTATGTAAGATGCAAAGACAGTTTCCAAAGGATTAAAGGTAATACAAAGTTTTGGTATGGGGTCATGGATTTGGTTCGAATGAACATATTGGAAGCATATGCGATCCTACAATATTCAGTGATTGTTGTCGCGGTTGAAATCGAGTCTAAAGTGATGAAATTGTAAATATTAAACTCTTTATGTTGTATAGATCCCTCTCAAGGTCAAGATATTAATTAAGCTATAAAACAATGTTATTTTAGTAACATAGACCGATTTGCTATTACCGTTTGGAATATATATATCACAACTGCATATTCTGAGATTTTCATGGTTGCAGCTACCATCGTATGGCCGTAGGCGCTATTTGAAATTGATCAAAGTTTACCGGGAGCACCGGTAAATTTTTATTTTAAATTTTTCTCGAAAGCAGAAGTGTTTTAGGGGCTAAAAAATTTTTTGCTTATAAAACATCCATAGGGGCATCAAAATATATAAAAATTGTAAAGAATCACTATCCAGCCAATTTTCAAAATTTACCAAAACTTTGTAATACCTTTAATAGCAACTTCAGCAAAAAAACCGATAGACTAGTGATTTCAAAAGCCTGCTGAAAATGCATCCCAACACCAAAAATTTGGTCCAACTTTTCACCCTCCTCTTATCCCAGGTCTGATGTCGTGCTACTGGCCCGGTCGTAACCAGATAATCCGCCGCAAGAATATCACGTACTACCTCGACGGTGCCCACACGCCTCGTAGCATCAAGGCATGCTGTAAGTGGTTCAACCGAAAGGCAGAGATGGATGCGAGGGATTTGGAAGGACCGGTAGCCAAGGTCCTCATCTTTAATACTACAGGAGAGAGGGACGAGTACAGCCTACTGCCTAAACTTGTGGTGAGTGTAGACCGTCTTCTGTTATAGATGACATGTGAAATTTGGAGATAATTATACTAAACATTACATACCCAGCAGAAGGGCGGGAATGGGATGCATGGACATGAACAGATGGACAGATTTAAATGACGCAGAAAACAATTTCTTAATTCCAACTGTTCTTTGACTACATTGCATTTCTGTGCAGTGCATATCAGTTCATATATTTTCCAAATTGTTAATATTGATGCTATGTTACTTCAGCATCATATCTAATAGGTTTGAATACTTAGTAATAAAAGAAGTGTTTGCCCCTTCGTGCCAGGTACACAGTGAAATTTGATCTTACGTTAATGAATTCCTGAATATAAACTAGATTTTGTAGAAGTGATTAAGGAAATTTGTTTTTCTAGAAGAAATTTAAAGAAATATTTATGAAGATTCATTCTTGTCCTGCATATTTTCTGTGTCACGATGTTATGCATGTTATTCTCTTATGCACGCTTTGCTGTATTGATTATCCCGACACTTCACTGATATCATTCGGCAAGATATTAACCTACACTTGCTACTCTCCACCCAGGTGTTAAAATGGGTACCTGATAGGATGCGACCCTCATTGTTGGTCAAACAGTTTTTGAGCGTTAAGTCACGCCTGGCTGGAATGCTCCCCAGGGAGTGGAGATTGTGCAGACAGTGTGTGCGAGCATGCACCTGAATCCAATGACCGGGTGATAATATATCTGTAAAGCGCTTAGAGACGTCCGAGATGTATTAAGCGCTATATAAAAGCTGAATATTATTATCATTATTATACAAATCGTTTTTGTCGTCTTTCAGGAGTCTGGTTTCCATGGAGTCGTCTTCTGTCCAAACATCATCAGTCTCTACAGCCACGAAGCATCAGCAGGTAGGAATATCATTAGTAACATTTTAAAAACAATTGTAATAGCAATTTTCAGAAGAAGGCACTGTTGATGATATATCAAGAAACAGATTACAAGTTGTTATTCAGAAGTCATTACCCATAATTCCTGCGCGATAGCTCAGTTGGTAGAGCAGTGGTCTCGTAATCCGGTGACCCGGGTTCGATGCGCTAGTGCCCTTTGGTAAGGCATTAATCCTCATTACCAGGTCCCTCAGAGAGGACCTAAAGCCATCTGCTGTCTGGTTGCTAACTTACAAGCATTTATGCTTTCGTAGCAGTCGGGTAAAATAACCACCACCACATATTGGATACCACAGCAAATGGTTTTTTAATTGATGCATTACGTCATCAGCTATTATGAATTGTTCATAATTGCTTAGATGTGTATTAAAGACGGCCATCGGCATAGACTGAAAAGAGTACCTGTCATTGTCAATAAGGTTGTGAGATGGTCGCAAGATGGTTGCAAGATATGAATGTTTTGTTTTCATGATACTGATAAAGGTCTCCAACTTTACAAATAATCCTGCAAGAAAGTTTTAGGCAGAATAAACATATGAATTGAAGTTACTGCGAACATCTAAGGCACTTTCAATTCCATGGCATCATAAAGTTAGTTAAACATTCTCTCCACAAAAAAAAAAAAAGATGTCTGATAATTGATTGATATGACATATTGCATTTCTGATTTTCAGACACTACCAATCATACCACCACTACCGAGAAACAGATGAAAAGGTGCGAAAAGAACCTCGAAGCTTTCCAGCACCTTCTCAAACAGCTTCAGAGGGATGTTTACTCTTCCGAACTCCCAACTGCTGCCCATGGAGATTACAGTCGCATTGAAGTTGCACAGGCATCGGGGTCCCTCCATCATCAAACAGTACAGTACACCCCTACCAATGTAGTGGATCAGCCCTCTAGCACTTGTAACCAATCAGGTGATAGAACATTGACTACTAGTCAGGATGGAACTGGTTCAGACCGGTTTGTGGATGCCAAGCTAGTGAAATTGTCTTCCATGACAGATGCTCTACAGTGGGCTGCATGTTGTAAGGACTCCAACCTGAGCTCCCCGAGTTTACACGACCCCACCCCTTCAAACCATGCAACATCGGCCAATCACATTCAAGTGTTGATAACGGGAAGCCTCCATTTGGTAGGAGGGGTCATAGGTATACTGGATCCCGAACTAGCATCTAGGCCAGACCCTGAATAATTAATTCAAAAGAGTGACATAATTTCTTCCTGAACATTCATTTGGAAATTATATTCAACTTTTGTCCAAAGATGGACTATATTATGTATGTTGAAATGGTTTATATATGTGGTGCTATAATGTACACTCTTATGAACTTTCTTCCACGAACCTAGGTGATTAAATATTTCATCTTTTCAGAGCGGGAAAGGCATTAGCTCAGTATTAAAGCACACAAGTTAATTCCCGTCTTGCTCCAAACAGACAATTTGTTTCTTGAGGTACATATACTCTTAAAGGATATTAAACTTGGCATTACTTTTTCAGTCTGAATGATGGTGATTCTTCCATAAATGACATTATTTTATAATTCAATCACGGGTGATTATTAATCTCAATTTGTAGCTTACGAGTTGAGGGTTTATGATTATATTATATGCATAACATTCTTCATTTGTCTTCAGGCCATATTTATATTGTGACTATTTTCATCTTTACCTCGATTTTGAGAAGGCATAGTGGCTAAGTGAGTGTTTAGTGAAGGGTTTTTGAAACTGAGAAATCCAAGCCGTCCCACTTGTGTCCTTTGATAAGGTAATAATTCTCAAATGACGAAATTCCCCATAAAAGTATGTTGTATAAGTTAGTACTTCATTGTAATGAATTTTGTACATTAAATTTTATTTCCTCATCTGGACTGCGATATCGCAGGCATGTGTTTTTGATCCCTATCACAATTATATCTAAAGAGGTTTTGGATGTGACAAATTGATCACTAACAGGAGAATGGAATATTAATTGTTCTAACTTTTTCTGCTGCGTATTTGGGGTTGCAAATTAATGATGTCTGAGCTTAGAAAACATGTGTTTTGTTTGTCATTTTTCTCTGATCAAGCTCGTGATTTGTTTTATTGTGTTACAAAGTGCCTTAATTTGTACTTTGTGTTGTTGATTACAATGATTACAAAGCAGTCCTTGCCTCTCATTCTGTCACCCATTTGTTTTGGGGGATCGCGCGATGAATGAAGACTTTGCGCTGCGTGTGATTGAAGAATAACAAATATATAAAAACAGACATCATCTAGATTCTAGACTACCCCGACAGGGGAAATGAATTTGTTGGTTTGAGGAAGTAAGAGAATTTGAAACTGAGACTTTAGGCAGTGTCACACAGAAAAATGCCTTGAAAAATCCTTTCAAGGGAGAATTTTCTTGCTTCGTTAGAGGATTTTTAATGGGATAATTGATGACAGACAGCAATTAAGAGGATAACTAAAATCCGGATTTTTGGCCTCTCTGTGACACCGCCTTTTGATTTATATTATTCCATGCTCGTATAACTACTATGAATTAAATGATATACTATTTGATTGAATTTAGTAGCATGCAATGACAGTGTACATGTGTATACTTTCATAATAAATGTAGCCCATATTTGGGCCAGAGTATAAATTCATTTGTGTGCAGTATATTTACTTTGCAAGGTGCATGATGTACAGTAGTGGAAAGCGCTTTTGTAGTTGATATGAGAATTTCAGGGTGTAAGAAGTAAACAGCCTTTTGATCAGAAATGCAGTTCTGATTCTGATGCACGTCGGGCATGTAATCATAGCCGGCCAAGAGAAAAGTCGATCTTGACCTGTGTAGGCATCATGGGGCAAGATGACCAGGGAGGTGTTTCATAAAACCGTTCGTAAAGTTACGCATGACTTTACTAACGACTTATATATGAAAAGCCAAATGGGATGCTCAATCAATTTTTAACTGCATCAACTAAAGTAGAACTGTGCACATGTAGATTAACATTCTTAGTATAAGAAACATTTTTAATACAAAGTATATTTTTGTCATGATTTACTTGAGGTTATTGCAAATATAGTCACACTTTGTTAAAACATCAGAAAAAATTTGGGCATCCTATCTGGCACTTCATATTCAAGTCGTTCATAAAGTCATGCGTAACTTTACAAACAGCTTTATGAAATGCCCCCCAGGTTTCCTGCAGGTTTCTAGACATGTTGGTGGCTGGTTGATGCAAACTTTAATAAAATCATAAAGCAAAGATCAAGTCCCAACGCAGTCCGCCCTCTCATCCAATCTCACCTTAGACATTTAAAGCCCCACTGCACTACTTATAGCTACTTGCGCCCTCTATATAGCAAACAATGCCTAATCAGTGCCTGTTGATCCCCCATGATCCTCTTTCCTTATGTCAATTGAGAGCTGATTTGATGAGATGACCACCTTGCAGGGAGGTCTAATCCCCCTGGCCAAACTAGTGCAGACAGGCTTTAAATGAAAATTATGACATGCAGTGTTTGTCATTATCTTGACACTTCCTACTCATCATGGCGCCCTCTGAAGTCTACAATGTAAAAATGAATTCTGAAGATTTGTCAACAACAGAGGCAATACACCAGTTTACAGTTGTATCAGTGCGCATGCCCAGACAGTTGACCTCGGGTCATTGGCCCCGGAAGCGGGGCCAATAACCTTTGACCAGTGGTATTTATGCGTAAATTAAGATTGCGCCCATGCAAATAATGATGTGCGCGCACAACGCAGCGCGTAGGCAGTGATATCATCAAAATTTGCATGGGCGCAATCTTAATTTACGCATAAATACATGACCTCTAGGTCATTGGCTTTGTTTAAAATGGCGCACACAACTGTAAACTGGTGTATAGCACATCATAAAGACACATAGGACATGGCATTATTGGATTTTTAAATGAACTTTATTAAATTATTTACCCACAAATATTTATGTACATAATAATCTGAATAATCATTCAACACAGTCAATTACTCGGCCCCAAATAATGCACTAATACCTGGCATTTCAGTTCACCTGAAAAAATATTTAGAATTAAACCAATATCCATCAAGCTGGATATTTAAAACATTTAATCGGGTAGCATCAGTCATTTGCGAGCCATAGCTGTGGTAATGAAACAAATACGAAGTCCAAAATGGTTTATGGGAAAATGATTATCACAAAACGAAAATCTGGAAAAGAGTATGAGCATGTTGTGAATTTTACAGCCACAAATGGTCCGTTGTGCTTTTTAGGCAATATAAACGTAGCACACGTACTTTTTGATGATTGTGATGTTTTGGTACTGCTACGTACTGTGCAGTATACATCACATCGACCCCATTATACTCGCTGTTTAAATATTGCTTAAAAATATGATCTGAAGAGTCTGAAGAATCAAGATGTCTGATTTTTAATCATTTTTTTTAGTTCTTTAGAGAAAGGGTTTTTAATCCTAACATTTCATCTTCTTATTGTCGGTATTGGCTTGCAAATGCCCGACACTACCTTTCAAGAGATTCTAATATGTAAAAATATATTTATTTCATGCATATATATTCAACAAAAGCTGACATAAGCTCACTTGTCAACACATTTCCAACTTAAATGGAGTTGAACTCCCCTGCCTATTGAAGAAAAAACAAAATTACCAGTTGTCCGATAGATGCACAAATATAACATCTTTTTATTTTTTATCGTGCAGGCTTTAGACTATCTATATAAATTAAGTCAATAGTCCATCTTTGTGGCCACTCTAAAGAAGACAATATTTACAGCACGGGACATTGTCTTTGAGCCTCCTTAGCCCTGTCATTTCAAAACAAAAGACAAACACACAAAAACATGATAACTACAACATTAGAAAGAGACGCAGATAATTACAGTTGGGTACAATTGAAATATGAAATGTTCAATCAACTGTGACCTGGCTGCACGGCTAAAGCCACAAATCATTTGCATTTCTGGGTAAAAGTTTCGTGAAGAAATAAATAGAGAGAGCATAGGTCGGAAGAGTAGATATGTAGCACCCTGCCACACAGGAGAAATCTTAGAAAACCCTTGAATGGCAAGAATCATTAATACATACAATGAATTAAATTATTCTCAAATATACAATACATTTAATGATAATAATACTAATATAATTAAGATACTTATTGTGGAATAGTGCATTGCATGATTATAAAGCAAGTCTCGGGCACTTGCCAAATATGACTTTGGTTGTATCAGACCACGTTTCATTTGAAGAAGAAATAATAATCATGAACGACACCTCGGGCAAAAGAAAAATCTATCAGAAAAATGCCTTGTTGAAGGGCATTAGCAGCAGGCAGGGATTTGAACTCTAAACCTTTTGATTGATGGTCAAATGGACAAACCACAACGACATGGTGCTCTCACTGTGTTCACAAATGCCTTCTTTTACTCATTAAAAAAAGACCTTTACAACTGTATACCAAACCAACTGGAAAAGATGTTCAAGAACAAAAAATAGCAGGTTCCACATGAAAAATAAATACAATATACATAAACAGTAATACCCTCATGGCACATGAACATATACAAAGGAACCTTCATTTATAAAATAGTATTTTGTTTGGCACATAAGTTCAATTGGAACCTACATCTAATCTAAGATTGCCATAGTAACTTACCTTTAATTTTTATAATGGTCTGTCCAAAGGGTGGTCTTTGTTGGACTCTTTTGTCTTAATACTACCACTGGACCATAAATGGAAAGCCTCCACACCATCCTAATAAATGTACTATATATTCTACACAATCAAACTAGAGTCTGTAGATTCAAAGTAACCAACATACACCTTGATTTTGATTGGCTGTTAAGCCCTGTTACCATGGTAGTTGCCATTGATGGCAAAGTTACCATCAATGGTAAGTTTTATGCAATGGGCCCAGGTATACTCTCTCGCACACACTTGGATTAAATTTTCTTGAAAGGCGTTCTTACTTCAGGCAGCGTATACCTTTATTTTATTTGTTTTGTACATATATTGTGCAATTGTGAAGACTAGCCACATCAGGTATTTGTCACACCAGCAGGCCCTGTTAGGATAGTCCCGAATAGGCCAATCACATTAAAGATAAACTTGAGCTCTGGTAAATATAAGAATTTTTTCTTCACAGAATCTAACAAAACTTACACTGAAAATAAATGACATGTGCCGAACAATCTTGGTAGAAAATGTGTAGGGGCTGAGTAACGAACATAGAAATCCGGGTAAGTAGGCCTGACACCATGTGCTTTAAACCGGTCACTATGTGCAATGAGTTGTGGTTTTTATTGAAGATGATGCCCAGTACGTTTTTGTGCGTTTGTTTTAATTTCACTGGTTCAAAGTCCCACCAGTCTACTGCATGATAAACAATTCAGAATAAATCACAGTTAATTTCTCTCAAAATCCGATTCCCATACCAGAGCTCAAGATTAGCTTGAACAAAACATAATATGTATCATCGCTACCATGATTCATCTGGAGGTGAACAAGTCTCAACACTGTTTGGAGGTGTTTTGATCATTTGTGCTTCAATTTACACCTGTTCCAGCCCCTAACAGAAGGGTCTCAACTAGATTTACACATGTACAGTCAACTGTGAAATACTTTTAAAGAAAGTGCTGCATATCATCAAACAACTTGTGAGGATAAATATCATATTGAGCAAATGTGTTGATGATTGTCTAATGAGATAAATATTCAATGGTATGAGAAGAGCACAACAGAACAGAATCTGATTTTTATCTTCAAATAATTTCTTGACCTGGGGGGTGTTTCACAAAGATCCTTAGTTGGACTTAAAAATTATGGAGATCCTCAAAATAAAATATATTCAAAAGCGAAAAATCAAGTAATCCTGACTTTTTATAAAGTCCACACCAAGAACATGAAATCTCTTTGATAATAGAAAATATGAATGATTTGAATAGACATTTTATGCCTTTTAAGATAACTTTTGCAAAATATTTTTCATAGATGCCAAGCCTACATCAGCTCCTTCTTCCCCAGAACTACCAAGGACTGGAACAACCTTCCAGTAGATCCAGCCTGCTCACTCTCCCTTGAGGCATTTAAGTCCTCACTGGGAAAGAAGCACCCCTAAATGCCCTCACAGGATTAACAATTTTTACTCGCACCCTGTACATATATGCACAAGGATCCTGGCCAGCAGGCTCACACAGGCTCCTCACATACACACACAGTGCGCAATCTTCAAGGACCCTAAAGCAGTACTTTTCTTGGAAGAAGAAGAAGAAGAAGAAGAAGAATTGTTAAGTCCAACTTAGAGATAAGTTCAACTTAAGATCTTTGTGAAACACCCCCTGGTATGAAAGTGTTCTCAGCTCCTCCTCAACTTAAATCATTGAGAGCAAGACAGGCATTAAAGTCACATCATACACTTAAGCCCTTCTGGCTTTCAACTGACAGTATCATCTAATGTTTTCTAGTATAATAGAGTTGCTACTCTCTTCTCTTAAACCTATATCACCTGCTGACAGCAAGGAGGGCATTAAAGTCATTATCATACAGTTACATCCTTCTTACTTTTACCAGTCAATAAAACCAAAACAGTCTTTTGATAATGTCTTGTTCTGGTATAATAGTGTTAAACTTGTAACATCT